CCCCACATCTTAAAGTGGCCAAGTTTGAAAAACACTGTACTAGAGCGCCCAAATAAATAAAGCTGTATTTGTAGCAGGACTTTTCGTGTATGTCATCGATATGTTGGAACCTGTTTTCTTTCCTCTTTTCCTGATCTCATGCCTTGTTATTCGTTTTCTTGCTTGTGTCATAGGCAATATATGAACCTCTCTGAATGGATAGAATAATTTAATAATTCCCTGAATGCTAATGGACATCTTTCTTTCTTGCCTTGCTTACAGAAGGGAAGAAAATAACTTTGACAGAGAGCCGATCCCATCAGAGCCTCCTGCCAAAAGGGTTTGCACCATTAGTCCAGCACCTCGGCACAGTCCATCCCTTATGTTGCCTGTCATAAACCCAGCTGGGCAATTTCATCCTACACCTCCTCCACTCCAGCATTATACCCTAGAAGACATTGCAACATCCCATTTGTATAGAGATCCAAGCAAGATGTTGGAACACAGGGATTTGCGAGAAAGACATAGTATAGGTAATGAGGCAATGTCCTGTGAGACAGCTGTGCCTGTATTTTCAAATGCATTTCCTACTCTAATACAAATTTGACACATTTGAGCAGAGGCTGAGCAGGGTAAAGAACTCAACATTGTATGGTACTTTCTGTTATTTCATAGCAAAATTTTATGTTCTTTCTCATTTGCTGACTACTTTTACTGGTCTTATAGATGCCTGAAGCTTTGTAAATCCAATATGTATTTATATATTGTAAATATCAATATGTGCTGATAGAAATAATTACTTCCACCCCTTCCTCCCTTTTTTGTATCACACTGTCAGTCTTCTATAGTATACAATTTTCAGATTATAGTGTTTTCTTACTTTTCATAACAGGATTAAATGGAGGCTACCAGGATGAACTAGTGGATCATCGCCTAACAGAGAGGGAATGGGCTGATGAATGGAAGCATCTTGATCACGTAAGAGCCTGGGATGAAAAAAGCAGTGTAAAAATATGGCTCTCCTGCTCCTCTTCTAAGCATGGACTTCATAATATATTCTGTTAAACTGCAATTATGTACATGGGAAGCAATATTATAACAACTCAGGGTGTTTGTCTGTGTAGCTTGATAATTTCTGGCAGCAGCTCTTCAACATCTTGGGCAGAGGTTCAGCTTACAACTTTCTATTTGACCCTTTCATTTGGAGAATCCAGGAGTTAAATCTGGAGTTTTGGCATACAAAGCATGTGCGTTATCACTGAGTTGTGGCAGTATGTGTATGCACACAGCCAAATACATGTCTGTATGAGTAGGTGATTGTTTAGTCTAGAGAGGATTTAACTTAGTAGTAGAGCATGTGCTGGGGATACACATGGTTCCAAATTTGACTCCTAGCATGCTATGTAGCTGTGCAGGGAGAAAACACATTCACATGCCTTCCTGAAACCTTGGAAGGGCCACTCCCAGTTAAGTAGATAGTAGTGGATTTGATGAATAATTTGTTTGGCTTGGTTCTAAAGATGCTTCATGTATGTGATTTTCTTTGCCAAGTTTGCTTACTGTTTTCTACAGGGAATGGTGTTACATAGAGGGCAACAACTTCAAACATGGTTGGAGCAAGACACTTGATTTCACTGTTGAATTTGGGAAAAGTTGTAAGGGAAATGAGCCTAAGAGATAAAATAGACAATATTTTGCCCAGTAAACTATTTTTAAAATTGTTTCTTTAAACAGTTATTCTATTTTGGGTAAAAATTGTAAGCTCAGACTAAACTACCCTAGTGTTACTCAGATAATCTGTAGAAGCCTGGAGAGGTTTTGTGTTTATCTATAGTAGGAACATGCAATGTCCCTACTATTCAGCACATGTAGCCTTCATGCAAAAACAGACACCTAGTGCTAAAAGAATATACATCTAATCAGTATCCATGTGAAGCTTTCACCTGCTTCTGTAGTTTTTGAGTTCAAAGGCTGCATGCTAGAATTCCTAGATCAGTGTTTCTTAAAATGTGGTCCTGGAACCCCTGGGGGTCCCCCAAGACCCTCTCAGTGGTCTGCAAAATCAAAATTATATGCCATTTTATGTTGAAAAATAATACAATATTAAAATCCCATCAAACAATCATAAGAAGCAGTAGTGGCAGCAAATGCATCAATTTTAATTTTTAATAGGGTAAATATCAGTAAATATAACCCATACAAACAAAAGCTCTTTTGGAGTCCTCCACAATTTTTAATAATTGGGAAGGAGTCCTGAGAGAAACAAGTTTAAGAAGCACTGTCCTAGATATTACCATGCCTATATTTTGAAGGCACCTGCATACTGTACATCTATTTTATAGACAAGATCCTCATTTTTAGCACTACTTATTTTTATACAAATTGTAAACTAATTATTGGGAAAGAAATAGCTCATCAGGTATTTCAGAATCTGTTTCTGTGGGATAGATTTGTTACAGAAAAGTGTAAGAAAAACTCTTACATAGGCAACTATGCAGGAAAACTGTACCTACTGTCCTTTGTGAAGCCTATATGTTTCAAAACAAGCTATACTTTTCCCTCTTGAAGGCGCTGAATTGCATTATGGAAATGGTAGAAAAGACCAGGCGTTCCATGGCTGTCCTCCGCCGTTGTCAAGAAGCTGATAGGGAAGAGCTCAATTACTGGAAAAGGCGATGCAGTGAGCCCACCGAGCCACGGAAAGGAGGGAACGATTTAACTGCGCGGCAGCATAGCCCGGGGAGCTCAGATTCAATCAGCAGCGGTATGCTCTGGGGCCCTGCATTTAAGGCAGTGGCTTTGTATTCTTATACTCTAGATTTTTGTCTGAAAATTGAATTTTGGACAACAAGAATGAGGAAAAAAATAATTTTCATTGCTTTACACTGCTCTGTCTGTAAACTTAAACGTACTTAAGGGGGTTAAAGAGTGCACTATTACCTTACCAATAAAAATGGTATTATAAAGTATCTTTGGGCCCCCTTTCTGGATTATATCTCTTAAGATTAAAGAGCAGAACTCAAGCTAATATTGTCACAAAACTTCATGCAAAAATAATGAATCAGTTGTGACTCTAAATTCCTTCAGCATTTTGAAGTAGAGTGAAATGCTCTGCACTCTCTTGCTATTGCTATTTCAGTAGCATTTTAAGCATAACAGTGTTTTGTAATCTTCCCCATTGATTTGCTCCACCTTGCTATGAATTAAATCATTAATGTTCTCATGATATTGATGCAAAGTTTGGCTTCAGTCTGACTTTCCCAAATGCAAATGCAAATTAGCCCGGGGGACTAAATCCACAACTGACATCTACAAAAATCTTCTGATACTTAAAGGTTTTCAAAGTGACTTGCACACACTCAGTGCTAGAGGGCTAATAATCTAAAAGACAAGATGCAGCAGGGGAGGGAAACAGGTAGCCTCAGAGGAAGTTGTAATGGGAAGCAGATCTCATCCATCAACCTTATTGGGAGACTGGCTTCATTGAATTCCTTCTCTCCTTGAATGGTTTCCAGCTGGTCATTTCTTTGGGTTGAGTATTTAGTTTAAGTATTGGTGCTGAACTTGCATGTTGCAGCCAGATTTTTTTTTTTGGTGGTGTGGGGGGAGAGAAGGGAAAGTGTGTTTTCTATTCCAAGCTACTTCTTGGCTTAGATTCAGAGTAAATTTTGCAATGATAGAAATGAAAATCCTATTATTTTTCCTGCGTGTTTGTAATGGTACTTAATTTTGTTAGCTGCCTTGAATACTCCTCGGAGCAGAAAGGTAGGGTATACATTGAATAAATAAATAATTAACCAAGTTGGGCTTGCAGTATAATGTTTTGCATTGGGCTTGTGTTCAGGTTTCCAAACAATTAGCTACAACCATTTTCAAGATGCTCCATTCCATTTCCCCTGTGTTTCTGTCTCTCCACCCTGCCAGTACTTGATCATAATTTTGCTAGCATTGAGTTTGGTCAGTGCAGGCTTGGAGGTTTCTCTGAACATTTAAACATTTTGGCTGTGTAAAAATCCACACTCAGAAAATGAGTTTGCTATTAGTATACATGTTGAATGCATTCTGTATTGATGAATGGTAATCTAGAGGCCAGATTTTCTCTCAATAGCATCTGTGCAGTCCTTGAGCAGAATGCATAGGTTTGATTGAACTTTTAAAATGCTTTAAAATCCATTCCATTCTTTCTACAACACTGACAAGCCAAATGCCCCTTTTGATTGTCATAACCCTCATAGCATTTAGTAATGTATGTTGTTTCTGAATAAGTATCTTTTCTCCTATTTTGGCTAATAAGGATTGATTGGCGTTGAATTTAATATTTTGAGTTACAGACAAAAAGCTCCCCAACACTCTCTTTACTTTACACTATTTCTGAAGCTGGGACTTTCAAGCTTGTATTCTACCTTATTGTAGTGTAAGGAATCCCAGTGACAAGAAGCATGGGAGATAAATTAGTAGGTGAAGTATGCCTACATCTGGGTAAAACAAAAGCATTATTTTCATCTTAAAATTATGCAAATTGCACATCTAACTACCATGTTATTTTGGAGTGAGAATATAATCTGTATGAAGCATTGTGAATCTTTCATCTTTCATCTTTCATCTGACTCTTGAAAATATAGCTGTCTGAAGTTATTGGAAATACAAGGTACCATTAGCAAGGGTTAATATGTAGCCTGTGATGCTGCAGAATTTAAAGATGGAAATGAATTATGCTGTGCAATAAATTATGCAGGTCACTAAATTAAAAGTGGTCATTTATTATTTTGACATTGTTGAACATTCTTTAACTGCAGATATCTCTTGGTTTGGTTTTAGCAATTAACCCATCCTGCTCTCTTGCTACACAGATGTTGCATATACATTTTTTTTTTATTTTTTTTAGCTTGGCAGGGCTACATTTCCATGTTTAATACTGTTGCCATCATTCTTCCTCCTGCAGAATCTCAGCGGGAGTTCAGTAGCAGGCCAGGAACAGCTGGTTATGTCACAGAAGAGATATGGAAAAAGGCTGGTAAGTAAGGAACCCTGTCTCAGTAGATTGCTATGGGGTGTTATGGGAGATACTTTTGTTTAGAAACATCTGGAGGGTCACAGATTCTTATCACTGACCTAAAGAGAAAATACCTGGAGAGCCAAAGTAAATCAAAAACTCCAAGTAAGTGACTGAGGTGGACTTGAATTAGAATGAAACAGGCAAGTAGCTGCTCTGAGAAGCTGGTATGAGATCCAAGATCTACCCTAACATATTTAGACCAGAGATTATCTGGGCAACTCTTTTTCAGACGAGGCATAACAGAATTGTGAGGAAGCAAATAAAAAAGGAAGCAGTTTTGCCATGAAGTAAAATGGGGCAAAGGAGAGAGGGCAGACTGAAAATAATAATCACAGAATCCTATTATTTCTTGTTTTACATTAAAGGTGTAATTTTTCTAAAAAGATTTTTGCAAATTTGAAGTGTTTACAGCATTCTGTCAGGCAGTAAGGTGTCTAGCTATGGATAAGTGTTTAGTTAGGGAAACTTGGCTGTAAAATATATAATTAATAGCTTCACAGCTAATAAGATAAAAATGCAGACTAAAATGATATGATGTCTATGTGTGACTGGACTGCCCTTATCTTTTGGGAGAAGTAGCTCAAGGTATATGTAATAACAGCAAAGTCTTTAAATAAAACAAAGCTCAGTAGAAGTGAAGGTACACAGACCTACAAGTACCTCTGTCCTGGGCAGTGATGGTAAAATGAAAACTGTAACATTGATAATGTAGTTATGAACCCTGTAAGGGAAGGAGAACCAGGATATTGATGCCAAGAAGTAGTAGAAGCATAGAATTTCTACTTCGTAGAGTTTCAATTTCTACAAAGATTTTTGGATAGCTTTGGACAATTCAGCATGTTTCAGACAAGATTAATTTCCAAGCTTTTTGTAAGGCTAGGATGAAGTTTTATGCATTAATTCATTTATTTGTAACTATCTTCCCATTCCTACCCTTTCTGACAAGTGAACTGACTCCTTTCTTCTCCCAGTTCATGTTTTAGGCATTTGCTCTAACTAGTTTGGGATAAAAGCTCATGTATAAATGCTGTGTAGCTTGCAGATTTTGCAGCTCTGGGAAGATGCTAGCTAAGACCTTACCTGCATTGCCTGGTTGTCTTGTCATCAGAAGAGGCTGGCAGCTGTTCTTGCAGGATGATGTTGCCCTCTAGTCATCCCCCACTCTCGGTCAAAATGAACTCAGGGTGTCTTTTTCTGCTTCACTTCCAAAGTATACTTCCATGTCACCTTGAGTGTTCTGTTCATTTGGTATAGTATGCTTCCATCTGTTGCAGGTAAACCCAGCGGTTCATCGGCTACTTTGCAGAAGAAAGAATGAATTCCCCTTCAACTGAGTCAGCGCTTACCATTTTTAAAGCTGTCTTTTTACCATAAGTACTGTAAAACCACAATAATTCTATGATTATTTGGCTTGCAAACAGAACTGCAACTCAGTTCTCAGTAGAACTTTTTAATTGTTCCCTGAGCTTCCTACATTTCCTACCTGCCTTACAAAAAAATCTGCCCTGTTTTACTTGTTTTCCAGTAACCTGAGGTAAAAGGTTTTTGCTTCAGTTCCCAGATAGCCCAAATATTCTAAATAGCAGAATAAAGATTATCCTTAATTTCATGAGTACTTCAAGAGAAACTAAAATTATATGTAAACTTGGCCCTTTATTACACAAATGACTGGAAGTGTCTTCACAGATATACTTTACTTTCCATCATGAAGCTGTTTGATACAAACTTCGTTTTCTTTCAGAAGAAGCTGTGAATGAAGTGAAACGCCAGGCAATGTCTGAAGTCCAAAAAGCAGTAGCAGAAGCTGAGCAGAAGGCGTTTGAAATGATTGCTTCAGAAAGGGCTAGAATGGAACAGACCATTGCAGATGCAAAACGCCAGGCTACTGAAGATGCTTTCCTAGTGATTAATGAGCAAGAAGAATCTACAGAGGTGAGGAGCTAAGCTGAAATATCTGATGCTTTGGAGGATATAAGTAAACTCCTGGGCATCATCTTAAAGATGAAGTACCATTTTGTTGGTTTTTGGGGGGGTTGATTGGGTTTTTTTAGAATTCCATCACTCTTTTTTTGTTACAGATTAAACTCAGTTGTTTATTACCTTCTGTAGTCAAAGCAATGTTTTTGAAGTCTTCTCCCCAAGCGATTAATTCAGGTTAACTGCTATTGAGTTGGAGGAAGGAGAGAGCAACCTATAGTCCTTGAACCTTCCCCGGCTCACCCATTTTTGGGGGTGAGTATGATGACATGACTTCCTTCTGTTTTAGAGCAGAAAACACTGGGGAAAATATAATCAGGTTAGAATTTGAAAAGAACCTGAAAGCGCCTCCCAATATATTTAGGGGAAAACTTAAGTATCATCTATGTGCATGATGTAGCCCACTGATTGCAAAGTTCTCCCCTTGAAAATGTGGCTACCAGAGATCAAAAGTTGTATATTCTTTGTCTAACTCAGTGCTTCCCAAACCTAGGTAAATTACCCAAAATTGGGTAAAAGTGGTTTTTCTTTGGGTAATGACACACAAACCCATTACCCATCACAACTGGGACATTTAAATTGACTTAAGTAAAAAGGACTTTCTGATAAGTGGTTTTAGGTAATGAAGGAAAAAGTTTGGAAAGCACTGGTAACTTATAGCATATACTGTATCAGCCTTCTATCTTGCTGATCTACATTGCATGGGATAAGTTGCACATGAATCAATGTCAGCAATGACCTTGGAGAGATTCCCAGTTCTGCCAGGCATTGTCTAAAGATCTTCACAATGAAATGTTGGTTGCTGGTAAAATGCAGATGAATGAAAGTAAGATCTAGAGTGAAATGATGTGGCCTTGATGGATCAGTTCCAGGAAGGAGCTGTAGATGGAGTCCTGGATGAGATGGCCTAAGTAGAATGCCCTTTCTCCCTGCAAAACCTGATCCGTCCATGCCTACGTATCGATGGATATCTTTAAAAACTGTTGACGCTGGTTCCATCCAGCCACAACTTGGGTACAACCTCCCTTGATATCCCAAATGCAGAGACCTACAGTCCTATTTCTTTAGTCTGCAGATTCCATGCAAATAGGTTGAACCAGATTTCATTCACCTCCAGAAGAAAAGGCTAAATGAGCACAGGGGCATGTTTATACTGTGGGAGCCAAGGTTTGTAGCATGCCAAGCCAAGAAATTACAAACACCCCAAGCTGGCCATACCCAATCTAGAAGAGCTCTGAGATTAGAGAACCACAACCACTCAGCTAGCCTTAGTGCCCACTACAGTGGCTAGCCAGCACTTGATCTGGCCTGTAAAAATCCATTTTTTTGGTCATCTAGCTCCACAGACACAGGCTATTATTGATTTTGGAGTCAATTTGCAGAGGCTGACAAGATTTCCAGAAGTTCTGTCAGCCTTGTGTGCTTCTAGAAATAATTGATGGAAGACCTGCTATCTGGACCTGTGGCCTAGACTACTGATTCAGTAGTGTTAGAAAAGCTTGCAGAGCAACTAGAATTCTCCCTGGCCTCTGCCCCTCATTTCCCAGTAATTGAGTGTTCCATAGCTCCATCACCATGACCCTCAAAATCATTTGGTCAAAAGAAATAATATGTTTTAATATGCCCAAGTGTGAGAAGCATTTCCCATCTAATGATTTTTGAAGATCTAGCAACCAAAGTAGAGAATAAGAATGTGATCACCCTTCCAGATATGTATGCAGATGTTTTCACTGAACAGGATCAGCTGCCATCACATCATCCCTGTAGCTATCCTTTTGATCTGGTCCCTGGAACTAAAATCCCAGTGGGGCATATCCACTCACTTTCAGAATCTGACTTTGCAGGTTCTGCAAGGAGATTCATTCATCTTTCCACTTCATCCATAGCCATTACTGTATTTTTGTCCAGGCTTTGCAACAATTACCAGGTCTCAAACAGATCTCTATCTGAAATCAGTACCCTCTGCCCTTGATCTCAGAACTCTTGGAATGTCTGAGGAAGATCTGAATTATTACAAAACTCAATGAATGGAAAACTGTTTTTTGCACCTGCAAAATGGGACAGCTATTTTGAATATGCAGTAATGCCATTTGGGTTATGCAGTGCCTCATAGATTTCCAGGATATGGTTAATGACATGTTATGACCCAATTTGTCATACTTTACTTAGATAATATCCTGATTTATTCATCTTACACCATTTAAGAGTAGTTCTGCAACGTCTCAGAGCACATTTTCCAGCAAAAAAAAAAAAAAGTTACTTTGGTGCAAGATCTACTATTGCAAGAAATGCTGCTTGTTATCAGAAGCTGGCTATGCAATTGGCATCACAGAACAGCAACAGTTGGAGATACTTTGTCACAGCAGACTTCCCTCCCCATACTTACATGCCTTATATTAGTTTTCTGTCATGTATACAAAGATATAGCAGACGAACCTTCTTGCCTTGTATCTGCGCCCAGCTATTGGAGTATTCTGGGCTGGGCCTTTTGCTGTCTGTAGCTGTACATAACAAATGTGTCACATGTTGGGAAGATTACAGTCTCAAAGCCAGTTTAAGTAAATAGAATTCCAGCAGTTATTTCTTTGCACCCTGAATGATTCCATTCATTTACCATTGTTGAATTCCACCTGAAAAAGGAAAACCTGCTCTTCAAAAGCATGCTATTTGAGCCTGTTACATGGCTCACTGTTTAAGAGTTGCTAATTAAGTTATTGCTCTTATATTTGTGCCAAGAGAAGCCTTGTATGGATTGCTACGAACACGTTCATAGAATTGTAAATTCATAGATCTCTGAATGTATCCTATTATGATGGTTATGGCTGATGTAATTATAGCTAGGCTGCCATTTGATAGAATTTGGCAAGCTGTTCTATGTTACTGTGGATAACATTTGAATTTCATTATGAAAGGAGTTTTCTTACCAGCAGTATTGAAGCACTATCTCAGTAGCACCTCTCTAAAGGCCTTTTCCTGCTTGAAATAATAAACCAACTTCAAACTGTTTATTGGGCAGTATACTTAAAAGAGAAGTTTGTTCTTTATTTTTTCAGAGCTGCTGGAATTGTGGCCGCAAAGCCAGTGAGACATGCAGTGGATGTAACATTGCTCGTTATTGTGGCTCCTTCTGCCAGCACAAAGATTGGGAGAGACACCATCGAATCTGTGGGCAAGGCCTGCACAGCCAAGTTAAGCCAGTGTCCTTATCCGCTGGTCGGTCTTCAGCAGCCACCCTCAACGTAGTTGATGGAATCACAAGTCCAGCTTTGGAAAAAACATCTGCAACCACTTCTCGATCCTCTACTCCAGCCTCTGTAACAGCAGTAGATGCAAACGCACTCTAAAAGGGAATACTGCATTCAATACATTTTTGTTATTTTTTTTTTTTACATTGGAAAACAGAAACCTCAATACATTATCAAAAATTTGTATTCCAGCACTTTGGCATTTAAGCTATTTGTTGAAGAGAGGGGTATTTTCCACATCATTACAATGACATCTTTAGAAATCTGTTAGCCCTTCCATCTTGGGATTTCAGAATGGTCTCCTTGGTTTCCTGGAATACAGAGGACTTTGTTTTAACTGAATTGTCTCAAAAGATACTCTATATTGTTATCATTTTAAACTTCTAACTAGGAGATTGTTCTCTCTTTTTATCATAAAGCAGAACTGCTTGGAAAGCCTTTTCTCTCAGTTTAATATTCCCATTTTTCCTCTGTATAATCCGAACAGTTGGGTTTCCACCACCACCATCCATTGCTCTTTGAGTACCTCTGGGCTTTTTACATATTGTGACAGAGTAAGTAAACCATTTTTAGAATCATTCTCAGGCAAAACTATGTAAATGTAACACAAGCAGTAGTCTGGTTGTTATTTTCACCCTTCCTCCTCTAGCATCTAAGACTTTTTTGTTCTCATTTTCATGTTTTCCATCATTCCTGAAATGGACATATGAGGGTGAGACAGAAAAATGCTATTCTTGGGTTGTAAAAGGAGGATCTAAAACTGCTTCATATAATGACTCATTGGCCTTTTCACATGACCAGTTTTGGTATCTTATGGATATAGAGCAGACTGTTTATGAATTGGTCTGTGGACCTAAATAGATTGAAATGTTCTGTCCAGAGATTTTTGCAAAACATCTTATTGGCTCTTTTCTCAAATCAGATTGGTTTATTTTGTTATTCCAACTCTGTCACATTCTCTCATCTTCTCTGCATCAATGTTATTGGCTTTACATATTTTGTTTTTAAGGTGAGTTGGTGAATAAATTAACTGGCACACATCACACATGATTCAAACAATTGAAAGTTGTAGCTTAGTCCAGGCTTTCATGATCTGGTGTCCTCCAGATACATTGATTTTCAGTTCTCATAAATTCCCAGACTAGATAGCCAGTGTCTTAAATGCCTGTGGGATTTATGGGACTTGAAGTCCAATACCTGTGGAGGGTGTTGTGTTGGAGAAGATAAGGCTATTAACTGAGAACATGTTGGTTAAATAAGGTTCAGGTCATACGTAATAACTTTCATGAACAGCCAGGGCTAATGAAATTCATTCTATTTTTCTGTAAGCAATGTATAGTTTTAAAATTGTTGACTCTAGCTAAGGATTTCATTTTATTTAACTAAGGAGTTAAATAAAGTATCATGGCATGTTTCCAAAACATTTCACTTAAAGTCTATAGGTTCCAAGGTTCCAAGATCTACCCACTGTGTTTTTACATTGTATCCAGTTCTTTTGCTGAATTTAAGAAGGTTTTTTTTTGTGATTTTCCATCTTAAACATACCAGATTGATCTTTATTGGTCATAAAGACCAGATCAAGGTTAGATAGTAGGCAGCTCCAACCCCAGATAGAAACTGAGTTTTGGTAGCTTTAAGATGCAAGTTCCTAGAAAGCTGGAGTTGAGGGAATGTGGGGATGGTTGAAAAGGGTTATCCTCTTGCAGTCCAAATCATTATCCGTAATAAACACAGCTGCTTTTTGCCAACACTAATAGCAAAAATCATTGGGAGATATATTTATGCATCTAGTTCAAATGTCAAAGGAGTGGCTTCATATAAAGGCTTTACTTTTGAAAGGTTATCAGAATTTATTCAGCTTCGTTGTTGTAAGAACAAATCCAGTACTTTGACTTCTAATCCTACTTGTGGTATACCACAAACATCTGTTTTGCCTTATTCAGATATGGTAGTGTGTCTTGCTGTTAAATTGAGAGAGTTAATAGAAAGTTCAGAGGAAAAAGGCATTTATATGTAAGTAAAGGCTTTATTCATATGATGCCAAAATCCCATGGTTTAGTGTTATGTCTGAACTAACTCATTGTAGCAAAATAGTTTTCAGGGTGTATTAGATATTCTAAAGTATTACTTGGTGCTGCTTTGATTTTTGCAGATTCCTGTGTTGCATATTTCCATTAATTCATGCACATTGCTTGGAGAAAAATACTTGATTTACACCTGGAACTCATCCTTTAGTGATGATTTACCAAAGAGGGATGTTTTAAATTCACACTGTTTAATAAGAATGAAAATCCAAGGTCATGATTTTACTCATGTGCATAGATACATTTTAGCATTCATTTTAAGAAAAGGTTTGTAGTACTCCAAGGAACTATCAAGTTTGATCTCTGAACTGTTCCCAAGTTTTTGCAGCGAATGTGAAGATACAAATTAAAGCTGTGGTGCTAACATTACTTGTTTCTAAACTGAATTGCCACCATTCTCTCCATAGAACGGAATGATACAAGATCAGCTCCAAAGAAAAGTATGAATGTTTGTGTGTGTGTCTGAGAGAGACTATATGTGAGAGAGAGAAAACATACATTGGCATTAAGATTATATGTAAATAGACAGTCTTCCATAATTTAACATGCAACTACAATGGCTTGCTGTGTATTAAGTGAAAAATACATTAATGTACATAGGTTACATATTATCAGTCATAATTTTAAAATGATTTTTGAAAATGGAAATGAAAGATGTGAAATGCTACTATGGGAATACTTTGTGGATTCTGTTTTCTATATATTTTTGTCATTTGATTCTATATTAGGAATTTTTGTTACCAATTTCATGTGCATAACTTATTTAATGTACTGTATAAAAGAACCCAAACTGTTACAGATGTATTTAGTTTGTTCTACTCACAGTAGTCAATAAAGACTATATTCACCTTATAATACCTTGTCTTACCTTGTTTTATATAATACAATTTCAGCTAAAGGCCGGGTTGACACATCATCATTATTTAGATTATATCCCACATTTTCTCTAGGAGATCAAGGTAAGTTACATGAGGATCTTCTTTTGTTTCATCCTCATAAATAAGGTAGACTGAGCAGAGGATGGTCTAAAGTCTCTCAGTCAGTTTCCATAGTTGAAGCTGGATTTGAACTTGAGTCCCTCTGATATTATTCCAACATCTTAATCACTATGCCACAGTGGCACTTCTTAAGCAGTAGATATGGCTTGGTTTTGGATCAGCATGTCGAATGAATCCAGTCATTGTGCTTTGTTAACCATGCTTAGGGCTTAGCAAATAGTGTGAACTAAGCCCCAAAGGATTCAACAAATCAGGATTAAAAAAAAATATATTCAGTACAATCTGAACCCAACCCATGACAACTAAAATATGATTCTGTGTGCAGAAAATGCAGAGTATGACTGTACTGCAGACAGAAGTCAGTCTGACATTACATTTAATGTCTGAAAGCAAGCTAAATTGCTGTTATGGTTTCCAAGCCATGTTTGAAAGGATACAGTATGGTGTCTCGATAAATCGGGAAGAAAAACAGTGGAAATATCTACTGAGAGACAGAATTTAAACACTCCGTAACAAACCCTCAGTAAAATGCAAAAAGTAGCAGACTAAGATATATGAGATGGAAATGTATTTAATGTTATTGCTTTAAAGCTGAAATATAACCCTGTCTAGAATATCCCCTGATTTATGTCTATAACTAATTACAAACATTTTTAAATAGATTCATAATTAAGAAATTAGCATTGGAACAATTTTAGATAACTTTAATACTGATTCTAAAATAATAGATATGTAAATCAATAGCCTAAGCTAAATAATAGCTGCATATATTTGAGTAGATGTTTTATTCATTCTTATTCTCGGAAGCCTCATATTAATTGAATCTTGATGTTATGGCTTCATCATGGATGGACCCTATTTGATTTAATTGCCTTAGTGTTATGGTATGCCTTCAATACCAATAAAATGTTTTATTGCACATTTTATTTGACAATTTTTCAGGAATGAATCTTTAAGTAGGCATGGATAGGAAAGGAAACATATAAATTGCCTGATTTAACATTGATCTGCATAATTTAGCAATCCAAGATTATTTAAGAAGTCTTAAAGTAATCTGATAAAAGCTCAGAATTAGGCAACTTTTTTGATCCAGTAGCACATTTGAAATTTGGAAAACTATTATGGGTGCTTTTACAAAACAGCTATTGTGCATATGTTCAATGAGGGAACCCTTGTTAATGGAAGACAAACTGAGATTATTGTCAGCCATCCCTTCTAACTTCTACCATCTCGGTTTACTTTGTTCTTTTCTAGATAGGTGGTTACGGTACCAAAGCAAATCCAGATGGAGACAGAGACAGGTAAAGTTGAGCCAACTGCAATGGAATTTCATTTTATTATGCACTTGGTGTATAGTGTATAGTGGAATGACAATAAAGCCTATTGTATTCTATTGTATTCTATTTTCTATTCTATTCATTTGCAACATACAGCTCCCATGTAATTTTTGTTTCAATACATTTTTGTTTTAATAACTTGAGTGGCCAATGGATCACAGTGCCAGGGGAAGTGACTGTGGGCATATTAGTACCCTGGAAACCATGTACGTATCCTTATCCTAGACTGAACAGTAGGAAGACCCAGAATCCCTTTGGTCTTGAGCAATAATCAGTGGCGTTGGAGCAATGTATTATATGGTCCCAGCTGTGGAAACCTTCTAGAAGGGTTGGGGATTTAGCTTTCAAAATTACCAGGCAGCAGTGCAATTCCCAGAATTCATAATTTCTTGTATTACCTCCTGTGAATTCTGGGAATTGAAGTCCCAGCACTTCTGCATGGCACCAAACTCCAGAAGACAGGGAAAATCTCACTGGCAATCTCCAATATCCCATGAGTAATGTTTGAGATTAGTAGGAAAAAGACTGAAAATAAAATTACCATTGTTGGAATGCAGCTGCATATACTGTACTGTATATAGTCCAGAATATGCCATTCCATAAGGTACATTAAACTGCTCAGAAAAGAGTAAATAACTGATGAAGGAATCTTCAATCCATGGAAAGGTAAAGCAATTGTCCAGACTTAAGTGAAAAAGAAAAGGCACAACCAAGAAGTGACTAAGGTTTGTAAATGCATAGATGGCAAAGAAGTCTTACAGAATTCAGAATGTTATAGATGCATAGATAAATCATTCCACATATGCAAATATACACATACATCACCGCTGTTGTCATCAGCTGAAAATGTTTCGGCAAACCTGCTTTGTTTGTTTGGCTAAGATAGCTTTAAAAGCATATTCATGGCTATTTCTCATAGAATGTGCTTACAACTGGTTTTAACCATAAATGGAAGTTTTGTGTTTCAGAGATGCATGCTCTGACATATAAGATGGGGCAGGAAAAGAATCCCATAATGAATTAAAGCGACAGGCATCTGCACAAGGGGCAAGTAAAAAAAAGTATGTTATGATACAACCTGCCCCCCCCCCCATAAACCTGTGAGCGATGTAACATAAATACAAAAGGGTAAAGCTTGAATAATGAATTGCAACACACATTTCATCATATTGGCATCACTGTGGCTAGGATCAGATGACTATGATTAAGGCCACTATTACCTGTATACTGTCTGATTTTTAGAAACATCTGGATCACCACAGTCAAAATCAGGAGTCAGAATAGCTTAATCCTTGGTCTGATCCAGAAAGCTCCTTCCCATAATTATTGAAAGGGATAACTATGCTGAACAAAATACCTAATACTATAACAATACTTAGGTTCTCCGCATCATCTGAAAGCACTTTGCATTTATAACACAGCAAAATCCAGACAGACTCTGGCTTTCTACTTGAGCCCCTCTTCTGTCTGTCTAGTGGATTTGCTTTTGCTCCATGAAGACGAGGTTCCTAAAAAACTTGAAGAAAACCTTTGTTCGCCTCAAAGTCATAATCATTTAATATCATATCCCATTTGTACCACAGTGTGGCATCTGCAGTCCATCTTGGAGGAAACCTTAGGGCTTTTCTTTGTTAGGTAATTATTTCTCTTTCTCTATGGGTGTGCGCTTAATTCCCGTAATTCTTGATAGCTCAGACAAAAGCCAAAATGACATAAAGAATTGTTTTCAGCATCGAAAACTTGCATTGTGAAATGTAGAACTTCACCCACAGCAGACTATGTATTTAGAAGTTAAAATTTTTAGAAGTTGAAATATTACTAATTTAATAATGATCTCTATATTTGTACACAGATATAGCTCATTCTGGAAGATTTCTACAGCAGGAAGAAACCAATGGATTTTAAAAAATAGCATGAAAATTTCCATTAAAAAATGTAAAAATCAGCTCTTTTTCGATAAAAAGCAGGGAGCCTAATTAAAACACTAAGCAGGGTATCATCTCTGAAGTATGCATTCTCATCTCATTTCATTTTTAAAAGCTTTTGTTGCCATTTGAGATTTTTCAGAAAACTTTCCTGGTAAAAACTATAGAGATTCAATAAACTGCTGGCTTCATTTCCTCAATAAACTGCAATCCCCTTAAGCATGCATTTTGTTAATGACTATTCATTAATTTGCTGATTGCTAAATATTCATTATTACTGTTAATTAGTAGAATTTCAGTAGAGCCTAGAGACCACTCAAAGAGATCTAAGCTTTCCATAGTTTTAAATTGCAGATTAAGATAGATGGTTAGCAAATTGCGATTAAAACTTTTGTTCTAGTGATCTCATATTGTGTTCAGCACAGCAAAGTTTAAAAAGAAGAGCAATTATAGAATACTCTGTTCTCCGCTATTTTCTCTTATAATACCTTAAAAGCTTGAGAAATTGAGGAATTATTGTTATTTTAACACATTTAAATAATGAAGGTTAAAACTTGTCAGGCCCATCCAATAAATTATAGAAACTTCACTGACAAGCTGAGATTGCACATTCCATTAATCTGTGGTTTGCTTAATCATGACTTGTAGACTAAGCCATACCTGGTTAACATATTTCACTAAGCCAAAACCATTGCTTCTAACTCACAATAAGTAGGTTCACATGACACAAGACAACCCAAACCAACCCCAGCATAGCTTAGTGGATTATGCTAATACAGTGCTGAAAAGTAAAATGATTGATTACAACTGATTACATGCCATCAACTCTTAGTGACCACAATCGATAGATTGTCTCCATGATGATCTGTCCCAAAGTCAGGGATCTTGTGGGATTAGAGTCAGGTGTATGATTAACCAATTATAGCAAGCAGATGCTAATGATCATCAGTTTCATACGTAGGTTGAAGCATAGTCATTAACTGAAACAGAAACAGCTGTCTAGGAGGCTTAAAACTGGGTGAGGAACAGCCATTCTCTGCTACTAAGGTGAGGTTGTGGAAGACAGTTTCATGTCACAGGTCATACACCATGGCAAGACTCAGCACAGCAACAAGACACAAGGTAGTTATCCTGCATCAGCAAGGTCTCTCCCAGGTAAAAATTTCAAAACAGACTTGGGGTTTCAAGATGTGCTGTTTAAGCTCTTTTGAAGAAGCACAAAGAAACAGGCAATGTTGAGGACTGGAGACGCAGTGCTCAGCCAAGGAAACTTAATGCAGCAAATGAAAGACATATCATACTTACTTCTCTTTGACATTGGAAGATGTCCAGCAGTGCCATCAGCACAAAACTGGTGGAAACCTGTGGGACCCAGGTACACCCATCTACTGTCCGGAGAAGTCTGGCCAG